CCCCAAAACCCCAAAACCCCAAAACCCCAAAACCCCAAAACCCCAAAACCCCAAAACCCCTTACAATTTCTGAGAGATTGAAATTTACGCTCAAGTGAAGGAATTTAAGCAACTAGATTCTTCAGATAAATTATTAAAGCAAAAAGTCCGCAGTTTAATAATTTTAAATTTTACAAACTAAAATATGCAGGAAAGAACAGAGTTGGATATTAGAATGGAGGACCAGATCCTTAGATACCTTGAGTCGACAGATCTGAAGGCTAAGGGACATACCTTGATGACTAAGAATGAGAGATTTAATATTAATATTGATGATATCAGAGCAAAGAATCATGAATTAGCTCAGTACATTATTAAAAATCCTATAAAGGCTATTCCTTTGTTTGAGCAGAATGTGCAGAAGATCCTTGATGAAGAAGATGCAATAGCAGGAAAGAAGCTAGGAATGAGCTCTACAAGTCAGTTTCCAGTGAAAGAGAAGACCCTTAAAATTAACTTTACAGGGAAATTGGGCAAGAATTATGTCACTCCAAGAGGTCTCAGAGCGCCAATGCTCAATAGCCTTGTTTGTGTTCAAGGTATAGTGACTAAGATGAGCATTGTAAAGTCAAAAATTGGCAAGAGTTATCACTTTATTGAATCTGAGAATACAGGGTTCGTTCAGAATTATAAGGATCAATACTCTATAGAGGGTCAAGGTAATTTCTCTACAAAAATGCTTCCGACCAAAGACCCTGCTGGAAATGTGATGACTCCAGAGTATGGATACTGTGAGTACAGGAATGTTCAAAAGATCGTAATCCAAGAGATGCCTGAGAGAGCTCCTCCTGCCCAAATTCCTAGATCCATCACCATCTACCTTGAAGAAGACCTTGTTGACAAAGGAAAGCCAGGAGATAGAATTGAGGTGATGGGTTTGTTCAAATGAATCTCAGGTGTGAACACAATGACTTCTGGCAACTTCAGGACTCTTATCATTGCTACTGGAATCAAGACCATTACTAACAAGACTGAGAACTCAAAGTTCACTGGTAAAGATATTTCAAAGATCAGAAAGTTCTCCAGAGAACAAGATGTATATAAAATATTGTCAAGATCAGTAGCCCCAACTGTTCAAGGAAGGGAGAACATCAAGAAGAGTATTCTCCTACAGATGCTTGGAGGTGTTGAGAAGAACCTGAAGTCAAGGACCCATTTGAGAGGAGATGTAAATATTTTACTCATAGGTGATCCCTCCACTGCTAAGTCTCAGATGCTCAGGTATGCCCTGAATCTCTCTCCGATAGGAATCAATACTACTGGAAGAGGATCCTCTGGAGTCGGACTCACAGCTGCAGTCACTATAGATAAGGATACAGGGGAAAGACACCTTGAAGCTGGAGCAATGGTTCTAGGAGATAGAGGCCTAGTCTGCATTGACGAGTTTGATAAGATGAATGATGCTGATAGAGTCGCAATTCATGAAGTCATGGAGCAGCAGACAGTCACTATTGCTAAAGCTGGACTTCATGCAAGCCTGAATGCAAGATGTAGTGTAATTGCAGCAGCTAACCCAATATATTCTAATTATGATAAGGGAATGTCTGCTGCTAAGAATATTGGGTTGCCAGATACTCTTCTTTCAAGGTTCGATCTACTCTTTCTTGTACTAGATAGTAAGAATCCAGATAATGACAAGAAAATTGCTGAAAGAGTAATCAGAAACCATTCATACAGTAATCCTAATGATAGCAAAATCCATAATCCTTATGTTGATGAGTTCTATATCGAGCCTGAGATCAAAGATGAGGAAGAAGAGCTTAAAGAGTATGATGTGTTTGAGAGAGACAACGAAGAGCTCTTTGGTGACAAAGACACCAAGATCGTATCAAACACGTTTTTAAAATAAGTACATTGCTTACTCTAAAAGTCTCAAGGATCCTATCCTAGATGACTCTGTGCTAGACAGCATCGCTTTTGAGTACAAGAATCTCAGGCAAGAAGCTGATGATAATAATATGGCAAATTCAAAGAAACTGCCTATTACTGTGAGAACTCTTGAAACCATCATCAGACTTGCCACTGCCCATGCCAAACTAAGACTTGATACTGAGAGATCTGTCACTCAAGAGGATATCGAAGTTGCTACCAAACTTCTGAGATACTCGATTTTCAGTGAAGATGATGATGCCCTTGGAGAAGAAAGAAGTACTGACGGAGAAGAAGACAATGATGATGATGACGAAGAAAGAAAGAAATCCTATAAGTCTCTTAAGTCCAAAAAGACAAAGAATGACAAAAGAGCCGACTCTAAAGTGTCTAAAGCTGAAAGTTTGAGTAAAGAAATTGAAGCTGGAGAAGAAGAAGTTAAAAACTTGATTGATTTCTCAGCCAAGCAATCTGAACTCCAGAAGCATGTATCTCCTGACGGTAAGTATTTATCACTCTCTTTGGTCTCATAAAATCTCAGTTCTAATTTCTTTATAGAAATCAAATTGGAGACAGCAGAAGAAAAGAAGAAGAGAAGCTGTATTTTTAAAATACTAGCCAGAGAACAGAGAAAAATGAACCCGCATGTTTCTTATAGTGAACTTTGGAAGTTAATCTCACAAAACTCTGAAGCTAAGACATTGTTCCCTTCCAAAGACGCTGTCTCTGAGACAGTTGATACTCTAATTGAGCGCAACAAGTTGATGGCTGACAAGGATAACAATATTTACATGATCTAAAGCATCCCTCCTAATAAGTAATTTTCAAACATAAAGCATGTTTAAATATTTTCATTATTTTAATTTTTATGAGGGGTTTTGGGGTTTTGGGGTTTTGGGGTTTTGGGGTTTTGGGG